TACATATTTGTTAATAATTTATGAAATCATTTTATAATTTTTTTTAACTTTTACTTTTTTATTATTAACATATTTTATATATATATATATATATATATATATATGATAAATATATTTGATCAATATAATAAGCACTTAATACAAAAGCTAAGTTTATGGATATTAGTATTAATTATAAAGTGAAATTTCTCCTATTTGTACCAGTTTTTATCTATAAGTCAATTTTTATATGTAACTCATCGTATAATTTTAATGTCTAAGTCTAAGGAATTTTGGTTTGAAAAACAACAAATGTTAGAATAATATTTCATAAAAATTATTATTTTTTAAACTGAAATTTAATATGAAATAAAAGACCAGTTGATACTTTTTAAAATATCTTCTTAAAATGTATTAATTGGCTACAGGTTTTATTCAAAGGAATCGTGGGTAGTTAAACATATGAATGAATAGTGTTTATGTGAAACATTATTCAAATATTTATATTTCAACTTAATTCATGGTACATGTGTAATTTGTTATTTTAAGTGTTATTTCAAATAATAATTTATTATAATATATTAAGTAAAAAAAAGCTTTCTACAAATATTTAAATGCGATGCTTAGTTTACAATATATTTAAATAACATGTCTTTAGAGCCAATGAGAGATCAAGGTTCGATAGCCCCTTCGAGATATTTTCTGATTCCCGAATTTATTAAAATAAAAAAATAATAATAAATATTTCAAATATAGTTAGGTTAACGGTTGGTAATTTTTGTCTCAACAAGTTATACTACTTTTATTACTCCTTATAAAAAATTGAACATAAATACAATTTCTCAAAATTTGACTTTTAGTAAGTTTCAAAATGAGAAGTGCATTTTTTACTTGAACAGCGATCTGAACTTATCAGGGTTCTATGAGCTTTTGTGATTAATATTTTACAAATTACGTTTGTTTTATTATAAATGGCAACCAAACAGTTATCTCATTTTATGTGCTGAATTTTTATCATTACAATTACTGTAATTGTGATGCATTTAATTGGTGCAGCAATGCCGTATTAGGACTGTTTTCACTTGGTAACCTATTGCTATCTATATTTTCAAGTGAAAATCGTTGTCACGAAAAGTGCATCAATATTTTCTAATAGTATTTTTGTATGACGTATGCTCAATTCTCGTTCCAGTTAAATTCTGAAAATAAAAGACAAGACCTGCTATACAGCTTTTTATATATGTCTCGTGTGGTGTATCAAAATGTCCTTCAAAATGTGTTTAAAATGAAATTTTACCTTTAATTAAACTTCACAGTAAGGAAGTATAGTCTGTCACTCTAAACTTTTCTGAATGGAGTTAAAATTTGAATTTTCAAATTAAGCCTTATCCTATAATTCCTCCTCTTCTTCTAATTTTGCCAATGTGTTTCGTTTTATATAATATGTAAAGTGTGTAAATAATGTATCACCTTTGTTAATATAAACCACCAACGTAGTACTTTTCCAATTTCCGTTGTATTTCAAAAATAAGACCTATCATTTGTTTGCTCTTCCATTCCGTGTTAATTACTAAAAGACCGCACGGATTTGGTAACGGAAATTTTAATTACGATGACAATGCGAGTTTTGGGTTTAAACGGACCCGTATGTGTTTTTTGACGGACGCGTTGTGACGCTTTCAGAATAAAATTATGTGTGCACAGCAGCTCCACCCGCCCAGCCGCCCTCGCCCGGGGGCGCGCACGCACGGTCGCCCCCCTGTGTATACACTGTTTATTATATCGTATAGGAACACGATACAGACAACCGCAGTTTATAATTAACTTTTACGTCCGTCAAAAGTGGCTATTGTGGAATTAATGCCAGTTAGTGAGGTGGAATACGATATCGAAGTGTACGATTTGAAACAGATACAATTTTAGTCTTTACTTATTCTATGCAACGTATTATATTTACAAAATAATTTAGTATATAATTGTCATATACTGAATAAGACACGTCGTTATAAAGTGGTAAATTGATATTCATATTGAGTTGTTTTTAGTAAAAAAAGAAGACCTGATTTTCGAAATGAATATTTGACAATTTTATTTCAATAGCTAATTTGTCATTTGATTAGGTCGATATTTACACGTATCGTAAAATGCATGCAGCTTGCTATATGGCAATATGCCACTTACACCAAGTCCTGTTTCTTATTCAGTCTTTTCTTATTATATAGTAATGCTTACACATGTCCTGAAAAGGACATGTGTAAAACTGTAGGAAAAAAAAACAATAAAATACAAAATCTTTTGACCAATGTAATTTGATTTTTTTTATTTATCTCTTTTAGCGAAAACGTCAAATTTTGATAGAAAATGATTCGGAATGACTTGAAGCGTCGAGATAACATTTGCAAGTCTGCAAATCTTTGCAAGTTTTCTGGCAAAAGTAAAAACTTCTTCTTCGTGATGTTAAAGATTAATTTTTAGAGAAATTTGGTAGAGAGGAATAAAGCCATTACACATTTTTTCTCATATGTGTACTCAAAAAGATAAAAGCGATTTTAAGTGAATAATATCACCATCTTTACCTTTATCATAATAGCTATTCAAATATATTAAACAAAAAAATTAAATGCAAAGGATTTTGTAGAGTATTTTTTAAATAAAAATTATAAAATATATTTAATTTATTAAAATTAAAAATTAGGATAGAATTTATAAGTTCAAAATGATTCAATACAAATATTAATGTTTATATTATGTTCCATTAATAGTAAAAATATCACGGACTATTTGAAGCAACTATTACTAGTACTACTATATTTATAGTAAATATTTAATTAAGTTAAAATATATTTTTATTACCAATTTATGCTACTATATAATATGATATTCCAAGCTAATTCCCATCTACACTCGTATGAGATCAATTTATTATATACCCAAAAATTCTATTGGTAGACTTATTTTAAATTATTTGCTATATTAAATCAGAAACCTATCAAAATTTAGCATAATTTAATAACATTATTGTGAACAAATTTAATTGCTGCAATAATGATGATTGATTTGAATAAATTAACTTCAATAAATAAGTTAAAAAACTAATCTTATAAGGATTAAGTCGAGAAAATTAAGAAGATCTTCAAGATTATTAAAAATTATATATATATATATATATATATATATATTACATTATATTATATTACATTTAATTCACCATCACTTATTTTATAATATTACGTAAGTTCAGTTCAATTTATCGAAACGTGATTTTTGTTTCTCGTATTCACAATCCGGAATACTATATGCAATTAATTTAAAATTAATTTCAAAAATTAGTTAAACTTTTATAATCAAATAACGCAATTGAATTATTGTTTTTGACTACTCAATATTCAACATTGATATTTCATTGTTCATAAACAAGAGCGTTCAATTAAATATCAATATTGGTACAAAAATTAAATTATTTTCATAATATTGAATCTAAAAGTACGAAATCAATAGAATGAAATCAGTGATGACCGCTTTTATTAATGTAGATTGCATTCGAATATCACAGATTATTTTTGATAAAATTTCAATTTTAAATCAATAATAACACAAACCGGAATTTTATGATAGATAAATTTTATATTACCTGTTCAAAAAGACGCACCTGCACAGTTCTGTTAATTGAGTCGACCTGTGGGACACTAGCTATGACAAATATGTAATAATAATAATAAAGTGAATATGTAATAATGCATTTATTGGTAAATAATTGATAAAGGAGCTACTATTAGCTGAAAAGCGTTTTTAGAAACAAAATTAAACTTTTAATAAGAGCTAATAATTATTTGGCATAAATGTAATAATTAACTTCCCGTAGGGCAAGTTATAGTAATCGCAAAAAAATTGAAAATGAAAATTTTTAAATATCTTTACGTTTCAGAGGTTTCTGAATATTTTGGCATACCTTAAAAAAAAGGGATGTGTGTGTATGTGTGTGTGCGTGTGTGTTCAGATACAAATTTTTGTCGACGATTTCGGGAACACGGATAAAGCGATTTGAATAATTCAAAAACATTCGATTCGTATTGATAAGGAGTCGAGCTGATTAGTTTTTGGCGAAGGCAGGTCTAGCCGTTCCGAAGATATGGGGCAAAAAGTGCAAAAAAAGGTAACTCATTTTTTAAGAGAACGGAGCGTCCAATTTGAAAAATTCAAAAAACATTATACTTGTATTAACAAGATGAAGAACTGAACAAATTTTTAAGGCAAGTCTAGCGGTTTCGGAGATCTTGTAAAAAACGTAAAAAAATGCCATCTGGCGGTCAAAAATGATAGACATATGCACATCAAATTATCAGATATTTTATAGACATTTTAACAATAAGTATAAATTTTGTTTACATTCATTTGGGTTTCGTACCAATGTTTATCCGTTAGACGGCTGCTCGGCGCTTACGCGCTTCAATATTTCGTCTCTATGCAGTTAAAGCCGTACGATTGCTTTAATAAAAAGTTTAGAATTTCCAAAATATTTCAAAATATTTTTCTTTTCAAAAAGTCCTTTTTTTTCAAAAAAAAGTAAATTTTTGTCAAAAATTTATAGTTTCTCAAAAATCTAATTTTTTCAGAGTATTTTTTTTTTAATGTTAATCTTTAAGAAAAAAACAATTTTAGGTACGGGAAGTTCCTGCAATTTGCCTTAAGGCACGATGCCTTGCTCCCCATTTTATCATTATAAGTGTAAACAAAAGCTAATAATTATTTGGCATAAATGTAATAATTTACACTTATATTAACAAATCATGCAATATTTCTATAATGTTAATTGAAATTTATCTCAGATTGGTTCTTTGTATAATTTCTTAGATCATTTGTAATTAACTTTTCAAGATATAGCGAGTCAACATAATTCATATTTTTCTCATTCCAAATAAATATATTTTACAACGTCTCAAGAAATATTTGTATTTCATCTTAATCAACAATTCTGCGTTTATTCAAATTTCAGACTTGCTGAAATATTCTGAGTCAAATACCTTTGCCATGTTTTGTTCTCTTTTGTCTGTTAACAAGCAAAATGTCATTCCTAGGTCAACGATAAGGGCAAATGAAAGTCAATGTTAAAACTTGTATAATTTCTGCTAACTGGCCATTGGGGATGTTGGGGTGCTTTTAGTAATTTTCTATCAGTTGGGGCAGAAATAACAAAGGAAATTCATTTATCCAATCAACGATCAGTCGCGTGGACGGGATACTTAATACGTTATTATAGATACAAATGAAAATTACTATAGGCTGATGAAGGTAGAAAACACCGTCAAAAGTCTCGGAAAGTTATAAAACCTATGTTTTATGTAGACATGTTTTTGGTTGTAATTATTTATACCCACACTAAGATAACTTCAACATGTATTCTTCAATAAATAATTTATTGAATGCAAATCAGAAGCAACGGATACTGCATCAAGGTTTTATTTTTGATTTTCAATGCCATGCACAATTGAAATAAAACATTCATTAAATACATATTAGGTTGTCAAATATCTCCCTTCCGGTTTTTTGCTCTTGGTTTATAATACAAAAAGGCGGAAGGGAGATATTTGACAACCTTATACTTGTGTAGAAACTTCTAAATCTAAATCTAAATTTAGAAATTTTAAAACAATCATTTTTTAACAAATTCTAAGTCACTCTAAATCATTTAACTCCAAAATTAGAAAAATTTTGTGTGTGCATGTGTATCTCAATATGTTTGTGAGTCAAAATTTGACTTTTCATCGGTGTTTTCTCAAAAAAATCAGCACAGATTTCAAGACTTTTCAGGCATGTGAATGAAATTCGATAAGAACTCGGGTACATCGAGATGAAATTTTATAATTAGCAGATAAATGTGAAAAAATCCATATTTTCACAAAAAATCCTAAATTAATTTCGAAAATTTAAAAACCATTTATTTGAAGACACTAGAGAGCGTCGTGAAGGCTATGGTAAAATTGTTCACCATAGTTTTCTCAAGCAAAGCAAAACTATAAATTTTTGCGACGTTGCTATTAGAAGATATTCGGAAATGTATCAATATTTATACCAAAAGTATTTATTGTTTTTGTTGGCAGCTTTGATACCGAAGCTCTTAAATTTAGTTCATCATACTTGATTATAGTCTTCAGGTATATACGTTACTTAATTGCTTTGTAAAATAATTTGATATATTTCGCATTTTTGTTAGATTCAATTTTTTTAAGTAACCTTTATAAAAACTTACATATGTGCGTGAAGTGAAAAGGAGCAACTAAACCTTTACATTGGAAAGATGTAGATAATAAAAAATACTAAATCAAAAAGTAAAGAAGCATTTTTACAAGAGATAATTTAAATTAGTAGTTATTCGACCTGCTGATAAATATTACTTTCAAAATACCTGATATACCTGATATTCCGTCAACTTTCAAGAATGTTCTCATGAAATTTGTATTTCACATTGGTTTAAAATGATATAGATATAATTTTGTAAAATTCATTTAAAATGAAGAGAGACCTTGGATCTGTTAGCCTTCCCCTGACTGACCCTTCTTATCATGCTAGATGGGATAGATGACAAATTTTAGAGAAATAGTAAAAAAAATATTTCTATAATTAGGTGTTAATTGTACTCAACATAGTTCGATTGTTGTTCATTTGATACATGTAAGGTGTTGTCAGGCAATTCGTTTAGTTTAGACAGTATAATTACTGAAAGTCAAATAGGACCTTTGTGCCCGGCTATACTCTATATAAATCTATAATTGCAAATTAATTATATAAAATTAATTTTTTCTATATTAACATGTAATTTGATAGATGTATCTATTACTAAAACTGTTATAATTAAATAAAACTATTTTAACTCTCACTAAATAAGTGACTTACTTAATGCTATAACCATAAGTCATTTTCTATATGAAAATATTTAAGAAATATTATAATAAAAAATTTTAAGTACTAACTATGTGATGTATTATATATATATATATATATATATATATATATATATATATATTATTTCATTTATATATATATATTATTTATATATATATTATTTCATTTATTTCCAAAATAACTTTCAAATTTTACTAATTGAAACTCTTATAGTGACCTTAATAAATCTTATTAGGAAAATTGGAGGTAATTGGAGAAATTTGTTTCAATGATATTTTTTGTTTAACAGTTTCAAATCTTAGTATATCTTTGATTAAATATAAATTTAGAACATCGCCTTCAATAAAAGTTAAAAAAAACTTACAGCTACTCTAAGATTCAGTAGTAAATTTTATCGTTAACGTATGATCAAGGTATCATAGTTTTAATGTAAGCTTATTAACGAATCAACTCCATTGCCAAACAAATTCAGAAAAAAGTAAATAAATATATTTGGTTATCAACATAACTTTCAAAGCTAAGAAGATCAGAGTTCTTGCTATATAATATATAACTTCTATGTTTCTTTTCTAGATTGAAAGCCGAACGCGCCGGCGGAGCCTGGTGTCCCAAGCAGCAAATAGAACCAGGCGTCCAGGAATGGATACAGGTGGACTTCGGGTCCGTTCACCTGGTGGCTGGGGCTCAGACACAAGGGAGATACGACCGAGGCCGAGGTCAAGAGTACGCGGAGGGTTACACGCTGCAGTACTGGAGACCCGGCTTTGATTCATGGCGGGAATACGCGAGATGGGACGGGAAAAAGGTAGGCGGCAAATGTTTGTTGTGTTGTTTGAATACAAATGAATATATAATTATCTGATTTTCTTCTCATAATTCATAACAAGCTTAATTAAAGATGATAGAATGCGATGTATAAAGAATGTAATTACTTTTACAACAATGCGTTGTTGGATTTTCAATCATTTCTTATTTCACTCATTAAAAACCACAAGAGATATATTGATAAAAGTAGGCTCAGTGAGAAAGAAGTTGAGAGAGTATGTCGGAACTTGATAATAATATTTATTTTTCACTATCGACAAAATTATTCCTTTATAGACATTTTTTATTCACTTTTATATTTACACCTGTCCAGTTAAGGATATTTAGTAAATTTGTTGATTTACAATTGTCAGACTTAATAGGGACATTGTATATTAAAGTGTCATGTTGTAAAAATAACTCGATAGTTATTTTTCTATTCATTATAAATAATATTTACAATATTTTAATATTTACAATAATAAAAACGAAGTTATTTTAATCTTCATCAGGAAAATTGATGACTTAAATCAAGTGGCGGTTTTCTCTTTAGTCTGCGACCATAGTTTTCTGTTAGTCCAAGGGATTTGCTAGTATTGTTGGATGACAGTTGACTTTCTTTCTAAATATTTATGCACCGTTTGTGTTATTATATATTTCATGTTATATTAATATATTTAATGATTAAATAGTTTAAATAGAAAATTTAACAATGAATAAAAGCACTCACGAATTATTATTCAATAGAAATTAATTTTGCTTAAAAGATTTTGTAAATGATGGCAGTAAATTATAACTAGCAAATATCTGACTATTATCTTCTAAAAATGTTTTTTATAAAAGTTTTAGTACCAGGCTGCATTTTCTATTTTTGACCAAATAATAGCGATAAATAAATAGTTATTCCAACCTCGCTGATGAATATTTCTAACGGAATTTTCAAGACCAGATCAAAGTTGTATACAGTATAATCTATATGAAAAATGTCTTTATAAAATTTATATTGTGTATTGGTTAAAGCATATATTATATTTCGTGAAATATCTTTAAAATTAAAAATAAAACATTGTCTCTATTTGCCCTTCTGGCCATTCTGTTTTATCCCGCCTGTAGGGTGAAAAATATTAAGTGACAAATTTTTGTCGTCTTGAATATATTTGTATTCTTGTCTTGTTTGTATTTTTGAATATACAAATATCAAAAAGATTAAGCAATTTTTTAACAAATCAAATACGGTTAATAAAGAAATATTAATGTTCTAATTAAACGCTTTATAGGCTTATTGTACGTTAAGATTTTTACTTATATAATGAAATAAGTTTTAAGATTTATTAGCTTTCCGAAGGGTAAGTTATTGTAATTGCCCAAAAAACGAATTTTTTTTTTTTGCATATCTTCACGTTTTGAAGGTTTCTGAACATTTTGGCATACCTTAGAAAAAATGGATATGTGTTCGAAAGTGTGTATGTATGTATGTATGTATGGATACAATTTTTCGTCAAAGTTTTTGGGCGCAAGAATCAACCGATTTGAATGGTTTAAAAAACATTCGATTCCTGTTGATAGGTAGATGTGCTATTAGTTTTTAGCAAAGGCAGTTTCAACCGTTTCGGAATTATAGAGCAAAGAGTGCAGAAAATAGAAATCGAGGTTTTTTAATTTTGATCTTTTTTAAAAGTTGTTTTAAACCTGTTGAATATCGAAAATTATAATTTTAATTCTAGCTAAAGTTTTTAATTTCACTTATATACTTCAAATATAAGTTTACCTATACCATTCAGTTTATATAATTCTTATCAATGTTAGACAGTCCTGCATTTAGAACCCGATTGATTAGGTTTCATTTATTTACTATTTATTTAGTCTATGAAATAAGAATTTATGATAATCAAATTAAAAACATTTAATATTTCTCGAATAGTTTATTACGGTGCGGGAAGATCCAGCAATTTGCCTCAAGACATGATGCCATACTCACTTGTTTACCATATTAATTGGCCTTATATAATGATAGACGAAAATCAAAACCTTACAATGCACATGTTATAATCTCATTCTATTCGAATAAATAGAAATATTTCAAGTAACATCAGTACCTTTAACAAATAGTACACTTACATTTTATTCTTTCAATAAAGTTTTTATAAATTTACATTTTTAATTTTCTCCGCCACATTTATAAGTATATACATCGTTTCATTTTGGATTAAACATAAACATAAAACATAAAAATAACGAAAATTATACAATTAATTTAAATGAATCTACTCGCATATAAATAAATCGTTTGCAATTTTCCATATGAAATTATGTTTAATAAAATAAAAAAACACTTCATCATAAGCAACGTTTAATTTAACAAATA